CATAAAAATTTTGAAAATTTAAAAATGAAATTAGGGACTGAGTTAAAAAGACATAGTGTTGCTTCAGAATTTCTATGACTCTTGTTAGCCCTCCATCTCACCCGGTCCACATCAGAACTGAAACTGACTCTTATCTCAGGTTGAAAATTCTGCATTGCTGTGTGTTGTTGTAAAAAGCTTCCCCCCCTCAATAAAATGGATAGGATACATCAATAAAATAGATAGGATAAATGTATTTTAATGAACAAACAGCATTTTAATAAGATTCCTTTTGTAGGCTAACTCATTCTATTAAAGATCTAATAAGTAGAAATAATATAGCAGAGAACTGTACAATTCAGGCCCCAGTCAGCTTGGACTATGGAGTTAATCATTGGAAATATGCAAGTAGAATTTCAGCAAGAAAAAAATCCTTGGAGTAACACAATGTCTATCTGGGAAAAGGAACAGATCTCTTCTAGATAAAATGGAAGCAAACTGTTTATAAAAATTCTTTCTGTTTGATTTTTGTTTTTGGCAGCATGATGGAAACTAATTTGGTTTTATTTTAAAATTCTAGTGATAATAAGGTTTTGTACATTCCCTCTGGAGTAGCTCTTTTTCTACTGTAGCTAGACCCCAACTTTCCCCTATGACATGTTTGCTAGGGAATTTTTAGCTGACACTTGATTTTTCACTTTTCTGTATGAACCAGAAACAATGGACTTGGTGCTGATTCTCTGAGTCCAGTATTTCATTATGCTTTCTCAGGAATCAGAGACGAGTGTTTCTGAGCACATGCAAGTCTAGTCCTCACTTTGCTTCTACAGTTAACCACTATGCATGCAAGAATTTGAATTATTGGAAAATTGTTGCTGCCTCCCTCTGTTGAAGATTGAACCTAGGGCCTCACACATACTAGGAAAGTGTGAGCAACATACTTGGCCCAGAATACCTTTTTTTCTTCTTTGTGTCTGTTTTAAGACTGAAGAACACTTTCCCAGGATTCCACAGCAGAATTGTTCTTGCTTTCATTTGCCAGAGCTGAATAATCTGCTCTTGCCCAAACTACTGATCTAATCATCCATGTCTTCATGCCATTTCTGAGGTTAACTGATGGCTCTAGAAGTAAAGCTCTTTTTCTTGTAGAGCAGTGGGACCTCAACAGTCCTTCCCCATAAGGCAGACACTGACCAGATGAGGCATCAAATAATTGTCAGCTCCAGTTACCCATGAAGAAAACACGATCTCATCTGGATGTAAGCCTGTATCTCCTAATGAAGATGATAAACATACCAACCTTTATTCTGATCTGTCTGAACCTTACATTTGGCTTTCCAGCTAACTGAAACACAGTCTGGTTGCAGAGTTCAGAGAAGCCTTGAAATTTATATTCCTACCGCCTTTCATGCAAAGTAAATTGACTTCATATTTGATTTTTCACAGCCCCTAGTGTTTACCTTCCCTGCAATATCTGCCTGTGGGCTTTTGCTGCTAATTGTTTCTTCTTACAAAACAAGATACTGTCTCTGTGCAGATGGGCAGGGATGCACACAAATCAGAGTGTATCGTTTTAACAAAATCTTTCTTACTGGAACTTTGAAAGGTTAGATGGGAGTTACACTTTCAATGATGATTTTCTTAGCAAAGTGAGTAAACTAGACTTTTGTTCATTTGAAGCAAGAGGCAACTTTGTTGCTTTAACATGTACAATTAAACTGAGTTGAAATCTACTTTAGATGAAAATTGAGAACAAATTAAGTAATCAGACAATGTAACATTTGTGGTTATAGCTCTTGTATATATTAGGATAAGTTGAGAAAGGGAAAAAAAAAAACTGTTCAGTATTGCCAGACATTTTGTTTTATTCCAAAAGAGAAAAAAAAAACTGAGTTGGCAGTGTTTGAAATTGACTGTAAAATATTACATAAAATGATAATTTGTTTTCATATTTATCTGAGCCTTGCATTTATTTCCACTGATCCAGTTTAATCATATGGTAAATCAGTATCCATAAGCACTATAATGAGGAAACCACCGATTTATCTAATGAAATGTATCTATTTGTTTGGTTTTTCCATCTATCCTAGTAACCATGAGTAGGGCCTTTTAATTTGACATTTGAAAACATTTGTATTAATAATGGCAATTTTTAAATGTTCATACCTCTTGAAATGTGACATTTATAAAGTTAATGCATATATTTTTTTCTGTCTTATTATAAGTTATTTCCTTAATGTTATGGATTTGGGATGGCTGCCAGTGACTCACTGCCTCAATAACTGATGATGTTGAGAAAGAAATGATTATGCTTTAAGATATTTAGTTAGATTTATGAGTGCTGACTTGGGTTTTGTGTGCAGGCAGATGAGTTCACATTAGAGTCATCTGAAGAGTCTGGTCTCTGGTTAAAGTTTAAATTCAGCCATTGGAAGCTCATGATATTTTATGAAGTTAACCCTTGAACCATCTACATACATACTTTTTGGAATCGGCTGCTTTTGATTTTAAGCATAGTTAACATTCAGTTATTAATGAAAGCACCCTTCCCTGCTGTGCATCCTGTACGAACAGAGCACTGGAATTCCAAGGAGCAATGAATTATTGGTTTGCTTTCTCCTTAACTCTTAAAATTATGCATTTAGAAAAGCATCTAGAATTTCCAGTAGCTTTCTAAGCTATTTTTTGATCAACTGTATTAAAAATTTGATTAATGAGATATGGGGAGAAAGAATCATTTGTTAATTAGAATTTGTTCTGTAAAATAATTTGCTGACTTGTAGACATTAAAATTATTTAGTGCATATATTGCTCAGGAGTCGTGGTTTAGGGAACAGAAATGAAGTTCATAATGCTTCAACATAGGTGAATTTACTATCTTACATACCACACTCTTGGGCAATTCCTGCTTCAGACGTAGCTGTATCCAGGAGTTCAAAGAAGTTCACCAGTTACTGATCTCTTCTTACTCTGTTATCCCCTGTGTTAGCTTTATTCTCTGGCACATTCTGTCCTTGTTTTATCCATGAACACTAGCTTCCTTGTGTTCTGAAAACTCCAATTGCACCAAAGGCAAAGAGTTTTTTCCCGTGTATTATCTCTCAAAAAGTTAGGAAATGAAATTCAGTGATCAGGTACACAAAGATCTCATCCTTGACCTAATGCTCTGTCTAGGAGGCTGGAATCTGTCAGTGGTTGACAGACGGTATTCTCCAACAATCAATTGGATCTTGGTAGAGATGCACATTTTCAGGCCCCATTCCAGGCCCAGTGAATCAGAAAACCTGGGAGCAGGGTTAAGATGGTGTCTTCCAGGAATCCCAGCTGGTGCTCCAGAATGCCACAGCGGTCTACTAACTGTTCAGTGTTCAGTCTGGCTCCTACAGCTTCAGTGAAATCTCAACCCAACAGAAAGCACACGGCAAAGACATCTGAAAAACTGATAGCAGGAAAGAGAAAGAGCAGAGTCTGTGCTGGCCAGCAGGACAGATGCCCAAGTCAATGAGATTTCAGCTCAGTAAAGTGGTTTTCCCTTTTGTCTAATGCCAATACTTCTCCGAACACCGCTGCTGATGATTCCTCCTCTAGAAAACCAACACTCTAATTAGGCAAATACACTTTCATCCTCTTCTAGGATACAGTGATTTTCTTTAAATTTTATTTGTAAACAAGTGGATGGCCAATCCTAAAAGGTTTCTGGACCATGTTATTTTCTTATCAATTATTATTATTCTGATCTCTAAGGCATCCAGTTAATCCTTCAATGACCAGCCTTATTGCTCCTCTTTGATAAATAATCAAGTAAGTTCACTGAATTTTAAAAGTTTTCAATGAAAATGGCAACAATGCCTGCTAGAATTTGGGTAAGATGGTCAGCACTGAAACATGATCTAAAATAATTTTTAAGTGATTATTTTATGAAAGCTCCCAAGAAGGGGGAAGAAGGAAAGTTTCACTTTGCTGACATTATTTTTGTGATTTACAAGTTGAACTGGGACACACAGGCAGAAGAGTACACGTCAGTGTTTCTCAATTTATCAGTTCCCAAGAATCCTCTGGGTGCTTGTTAAAAAATCTACAAACAGTGTACTTTCATGATACAGTCACAGCAGTGATTACATGCACAATTCACAAGAGCCATTTAAGGAGTCAGATCAGGTGCCCATCAGCGGATGATTGGTAAGGAAAATGTGCTATGTAGACACAATGGAGTTCTCAGCCCTAAAGAAGAATGTAGTGATGGGACTTGCTGGTGAATGGATAGAACTAGAGAACGTCATGCTAAGTGAAATAAACCAGACCCAGAAAGTCAAAGTTGAGTGTTTTCTTTCATATGCAGAAGCTAGAGTAAAACAAGGAACAAAATGTTTGGGGGGCGGTAATCCCATAAAAATAGAAGAAGAGAGGTCAATGGAGTGGAGGAAGGGATACAGGGAGAAGGACAGGGAAGGGTTGAATGGTGGAGTGATCTGACCAAACTTTCCTATGTACATGTAGGTGCTATATTTATATGAATAGATATAAAGCACTGCCATAGACAGAAGGAAGGTGAGTGGAGTCAAGAAAGGGGGTCAAGGGAGGGAGGAGAGGAGGGACAGGGGAAGCACTGGGGACAGGAATGAAGCAGATTATATTCCATGCTTGTGTGATGCTGTCAAAATGAGCCTCGCTATTATGTATAACTACGATGCACCAATAAATTTTTTTTAAAAAAAAATCCAGAGCCCAAAGTTCTTTTTTAGGATATTTTTATTTGGGAAATCAGCAATGGAAACATTTAACTTGTGTTTTTAGTTTTTGTCTGTAAATTCTCACAGTTAGCATGTCTGGAGCAGAGTCTGTATTGGTGAGTGTGCAGGTTGCTGGATGCCAATGGCCGTGGCTGTCACTAGCAGGGGACGAGCTGTTTAGCTTTATCCACCTAGTGTTAGCTGCTACTGTAGCTGTTTGCTAATGTTGGTTGTTGTTCTTCTCTTTTGAGTAACCTGACTGTCTTCCCTTTTCTCCTTCTCATGCTGCAGATAGAGGACATGCAATGGGGTAGGGGTGTCCGGGAGATCCCGCCCTCAGTGTGCACGCTGCCCTGTAAGCCTGGGCAGAGGAAGAAGACCCAGAAGGGAACACCCTGTTGCTGGACCTGTGAGCCTTGTGATGGATACCAGTACCAGTTTGATGAGATGACATGCCAGCACTGCCCATATGACCAACGTCCCAATGAAAATCGAACTGGCTGCCAGAATATCCCCATCATCAAACTGGAGTGGCACTCCCCCTGGGCTGTCATCCCTGTCTTCCTGGCGATGTTGGGGATCATCGCCACCATCTTCGTCATGGCCACTTTCATCCGCTACAATGACACGCCCATTGTACGGGCCTCTGGGCGGGAACTCAGCTACGTTCTGTTGACAGGCATCTTTCTTTGCTACATCATCACTTTCCTGATGATCGCCAAACCTGATGTGGCAGTCTGTTCTTTCCGGCGTGTTTTCTTGGGCTTGGGGATGTGCATCAGTTATGCAGCCCTTTTGACAAAAACCAATCGGATATATCGCATCTTTGAGCAGGGTAAGAAGTCAGTGACAGCTCCCAGGCTCATAAGCCCAACGTCACAGCTGGCAATCACTTCTAGTTTGATATCTGTGCAACTTCTAGGTGTTTTCATTTGGTTTGGGGTGGACCCACCCAACATCATCGTAGACTATGACGAACATAAGACCATGAACCCCGAGCAGGCCAGGGGCGTTCTCAAATGTGACATTACAGACCTCCAAATCATTTGCTCCTTGGGATACAGCATCCTCCTCATGGTCACATGTACTGTGTATGCCATCAAGACTCGGGGTGTGCCAGAAAATTTTAATGAAGCCAAGCCCATTGGATTTACCATGTACACGACTTGCATAGTCTGGCTCGCCTTCATTCCGATTTTTTTCGGCACTGCACAATCAGCGGAAAAGGTAAGTGGAAACTCACATCACTCCATGCTTTTCACAAATGTGTTTTTGTTAAGCATCAAAAGCAAATAGGTTTTATAAAGTAGGAGGTTTTACACATGATGAATGGTATTTCTAAGAGGAGAAAGAGCCAAATGAATAGGCACACATGTTCCAGGAAGCTAAAATTTGCAGTGAACTGTGCATAGCCCTTTGAAAACTGACCATAGGTAGCCTTTTCAAGTTAATTATATGTACAATAGAATTACTCGATACCATAGGAAATTATCCAGTATAAGATGATCTAATCTATCTAAATTTCACCTTTCTGTTCATTCATTCGTATCCCACTCTGCTTACACACATATTTCTACAGGATAGAAGGTGGCTGTGAGACACATTTTCCAGGTAGGATTCCCCCTGCCGCCTCCTCTGGGTGGCTGTCTCTGCCGCATTAGAGATGAGATCTGATATGTAAGCTACACATTGTAGTAAGAGTGTTCTAGTTCTACACGCAGAAAATATAGGCATATGGGTGAATGAAGGAGAACTTTGGTTATTATTTCTCCCTAGACTCCTTATGTCTGGATACATATGAATCAGAGGAAATGAATTACAGTGAGGCCAGAGAGAATTTCCCAGCCGAGAGAGATAGGGAATGAAGAAGCTGTGAAAGTTCAAAGTTTAGAAAGCCAGGAGGCTCTAATACATTGGTCTGAGGTACAGTTAAGATATATGGCCCCCATATCCTAACAAATTATAATCTATAAATTAGTTCTAACATCTTGATTTTTTAATACAATTAATGTTTTGTTAGGTTCAGGTTTGACATGCCTGTCATGTAGGCATTCCTAAAGTTGATGTGATTCATATGCATCTGACTTCTGTGCTTACCTCTTTTGGCTATGATTTTGTGCCTTTGCATCTAATGAGATTAATCTAATGAGATGTGGGTTCCTTCAGTAGATATAAAGAGTTCTGACAGGTTGGTACAACTGAGGCTGGAACTGAGATCTAGAGTCCTTGATACTTTATGTAGGGGAGAGCCTCATTATAGATTGTGCTCTAGGACATTGGGTATCTGGTCTCTTCCCATGTTATTTTGGATGAATCTTTTTAAAAGTGTAGAGATTAGACTCTAAAGTGGGAAGAAACGAGGGCTGAAGCTGGACTGTCTTAAAATGTACCAAAGGCTGTACTTTCCGGAATTAGTTGACTGATACTGGTTTTCTCTCTCTCCTGTATATCATATATAGAGAGTGAATGGCTTTTAGCAGGTTAGCTGACTGAATGGATGTCTTTTATTGAAATTGTGTGATTCAGAAGCTGTAAGTTGGAACTGTGCTTTCATTTTTTGAGTATTTCAGTGAAACTACACAGAATTCTGAAACTAAGGAAAGTCAACCTTTCCAGATTATAGTTTCAGTCCTGAAACGTCTTAGAAGATTTTCCTAAGATATATGCTTAATAAGCACTGCAAGCTCCAACAGTATGTTTCAGATTCATAATGTGTGTTTATTGTCTATTAAGCCACCTTGAAATTCACTTTATTTCCTTGATCCCTGGGTCTAGGGAATTACAGAATATAGATTAATGTAGGGAAATGCAATAGAAAAGAAAACACACACACATACATACACATATGCTGGTAGGTTGATAACCAGTGAACTTTCTGGAGGGAGTGATGGGCATCATCAAAGTCTATGGAGATAATTATTTATTACTAGAACAAAATACACACCATCAAGCAAGTTAAAGTCAGTTGCATCCTGCACATTTAATGTTTTGGAATATAAAACTGGGCAATCAGCAGTATTTTATAGATGGGTCTTGTAGCACTAATTGGACAATACATTTCTTATTTCATTTCTAATTATGACTGTAGATCTTTTCAATAAGGTCACATGTATAATTTAAAAAGCAGAAAATGATACAAAGTTCTAGGAATTGCATTCACCAGTTACAGCTCTTCCGGAAGACACTGGTGCTGATACAATTGACTGTGGAAAACACAAACCTGTTTTTAAGCAGCATGCTTTCCATATCACAGTTTTAAAAAACACATTTTTTCTTTGTACAGTCTCCAAAGGTTATGATATTTTATATGGTTGACTGGCACAATTAAAGGTACTGAATTGCCAAATGGGAGCAATGAATTATCATATGAAAATTCACACACTCTAATGATAGGCATATGGCTAGAGAAGCATGAGCGATCAATTAAAAAATATCACTCTGTGTACATGAAACCTTGGCATTTAAACTGTGGAAAGAGGCAAATTGCCAATTGAAGCAATGAGATGACAGCGAAAGGCTTTTTTTTTTTTTTTTTTTGGCCAAGCTAGCGAACTATAGGATCACACATTTTCCATTTTTATATAGATGTAACAGTTTAAGTATTTCAAATGGAAGAATTCCACTTCAGCAGAGAAAATCAAGATTAGGCAGTGAGTTCACTCATAACTGTTTACTGTTTCAGAAAATTGAATTTGCTTTGATTATGGTAGGGATAGTTCTCATTGGTTGAGTTTATTAGCATAGCAGAAAGAATAAGCAAAGTTTATTTTCTTGCTAATTGTCAGACCCCAGGAAATTTAATTTTGCTTTTGCTCCGGAGAATGCATGAGATCATGGCCACTTTTCTTTCTTTTCTTTTCTTTTTTTTTTTTTGGTCACTCATAACCTTTGGCTCCTAGAATGGGGATTGTAACAGGACCAGAAATGGAAGTGTGAACTTGAGCTTTAGGAGCATGATACCAGTTTTCAGGATTATCTGTAGGTGGCGACTGTAGTGATGTAATAAGACACTAGACCTGGTGAAGCAGCATCACAGGGGGAGCTGGCTGATCAGGGGTGGTGTGGCACTATGTGTTTATCATATCTTGACACAACTGAAGGACTAGAGTGTTTTCTGTGGAAAGTGGAGGCTTGGCCTGTGGGTTGATCCAGGCAGGGAGTCATACATACAAGGAAAGAAGTCTGCTTTAGGAAGAGAAGTTACAGGCTATCCTGGCAGATTCTGAGAAACTATAGATGATCCAGCCATCCACAGCTTTCCAGCCAGTTGTTTTCTGGAGAACTTTCTTGATAAGTGTGTCGAGGGTGCAAAATTGCGATGTATGCAGTTGAGGGGAGAAATAAACAATGTCCACACACTTCTTTCTGCCTGTTTCAATGCGTTATTCACTCAAATTACTCAATACAGTTTCACTCTATAGGTTCTTAATCAAGAAAAACGATAATCCTTAATGCTAGGCACTGCAATAGACATGATCAATTCACAGAAAACAATTCTAGATTAATTCTGAGCTCTGCAAAACACTCTTAATCATGACAGGCTAATGACAGACATTCCCTCTGTCTTAAGCCTTAGGCTTTATGTCCAGTAGATGCACACTCAGATCGCTATGATCAAGGCAGGCTTTTCTGGTATGGAGTGGATGACCGGTTGAGGAGAGGGTGGTAGGGAGAAGTTGTGGCTCTCACCAAGGTCCAGATGTAATGCCAGATTGTGGGACCCCAGTAGACCTCCAGGAGCCGAATCCGATGCAGTCACACAAGAGTCTTTATTGCAAGCTGGAGCCTGGACCTCACAGAGGTCCCAATGAGATTTTATAGGTTTTGGGGGGGATACTCTATGCAATCACAACATCATACAGCAAATCATTCCATACCTCGGGAAAATCAAACAACAACTCTTAACATTGATTAGCCCATTCACTGGCAGGAACAAGTTGGGTAGGGGTGATTGGTTAGTACAAGAGGGGGAATCCTTTGAACTGATTGGTTTAGGCCACCAGGGGTGTATATGCTAAACTACATGGTTTCCCAACATGTTATCAACCACCATAAACCACTGGGGGGTCATCTCAGGTATTTTCCCTGTCTCATGTTGATTGGAGGTTGCTAGGGGGTTGCTGTGGGTCCTCATCTAGCTTAACTGAGCCAGGGACACCTGGCACCACAGATCTCTCCTGTTATTTACAGACAAACAACTCAGCAGGGTAGGTGTGTGTTCTGAATAAGGGTCACACCCCCTTCCTTTAGGACAGGCCTTGAGGTAGAAGCTGGTTTCTCAAAAATGGAGTCAGATCAGTTTCTCACAGACAGGCGGTAGAGTTTGAAAGCGGTGAGGAGGATACTGCAGAGGATCAGGAACGATGACAAGTGAAGGGATGTCAGGTCCTCATCAGGCTCTCCAGCTCGAGTGTACCTTGTTTAGGCTGGCTGAATCCCTGTTCATTTGCTCTACTATTTATACTAAATTTGGGGGCCTTTGACCCCCCCTTTCAATGCTTATAAGGTACCACTGGATTCTCAGTGACATAATTTTTACTTTGGGGTCAGAAACATCTGGTCTGGTGGTCTTCACCCTGATCTTCTTGCCTTTCCCTCTTATCAGGTGAGAACAGCCTGACAGGGGCTTCACTATCAGGGTGAGGGGAAATAACTTTTTGGGGGCCATATTGGAGGGCTCTGTTGTCTGGTGAGACTGCCGGTTTCAAACTGGAGTTTTTAAAATGGAGTTGCTTTGGCTCAGGCCTAAGGCCATCTTCACAATAAGCCAGTACAGCCACGTGTCTGTCACTTTTGCTCATAAGATCACCTTGTGACCCTGTGGCTGTCCTAGTTTGTGTTGATTCACTCTGTGAGGAGCTTTCTTCACACTACATTTCTCAGGCTGCAGCACTGTATTTCTTCCAGCTGTGCAGGATTGGCTATTTCTTCCATATGGGCAGGAAAGCCAGCTTTGCACAACTTGACCCCAAGGGATGGGATCTGGGGTTCTCAGAGGTCTTCTGTGAATGCAGCCTGTGGTTATTTGGATAAGAGAGGGTCAGGAAAAATTGAGCAAGGGAGGGTCAGGAAAAATTGCTGCAGAAGAGTAGTGGGCTCAAGAGGGAGGTGTCTCCAACGCAATGTCCACAGAACCAGGGGTGTTACAGGACTGAAGTAATAGGACCCTTTGGTTTTCCTCTGGAGCATTATCCCATTAAATGGCAGAAATAAGACACTGTGGTGGT